ATCTCAGGGAGAAAACGGAGTCTGAGCTGAGATTTGAGGAGGACGAGCGCTGGGTGATGATGGAGGAGTGGGAGGAGGCGACGCTGTCAGAGAGAGGAAAGGCTGTTCTGCTGGCAGAGGAGAAGAGGAGCTGTTGCTTGGCAGATATTTCTGAAGAAAGGGAACAATCCACTGCTCCGGAGGACGGCTCTGTCCCCAGCCCGGGGACCTCCCGGCCCTGCACGTCCCCTGGGGGTGGTGGCAGTGCATGCTGCACGGAGGACGTGGCGGTGCAATGTGGGGTTGAGGACTTTGCTCCAGTTTTGGAGCGCTCAACCAGCCCCGCGGGCCCCGAGCTGTCCGACACGGACTCGGTGCAGATGTTCCTGGAGCTGGAAGAGCAGTGCCTGAATGAGGACGGGGGTGATGGAGCTGTCCCCAGCTGCCTGGAGATTCAGATGTCCCCAATGGACTCAGAGGGGCTGGACCCAGATTCGGCCAAGCTGGCTGGGTTGGTGGTTGAAGGGGGTCAGCACAGGGTCCCCTTGGATATCAGCGCCTCAGACTCTGCTGTTGTGTCAGATCTGGAGGACTTTGATATCACCTGCAGCTCCCAGGTGCTGAGCACGCTGGAGCCATTGACAGAGCCCTTCTCAGAAAGGGACACCTTGGCTGTCACCCCGACGGACTCGGACGGAGGGGCCTCCCCCAGCCCCGTGGCCATGGCAGGGCTGGGGTCCCTCCTGGAGTGCTCCCCAGCGCTGCTGGGGGAGGCTGATCCTGACCCTCTCGTGGACCCGGAGTTTGTGGCTGCTGGGGTCACATCCCGCACAGGGGCACATGCAGCTGCTGGACTGGGGGGAGATGGGTACCCCAGTGCTCCAGAGGGGTGGGGTGAAGAGAACCAAGACTTGCTTCCCGAGGGGACCTGTCCTGGCCCAGTGTCCCCCTGCCAGCCCCCAGCCCCAGCCATGGAGGAGCTGGGGTCCCCCCCAGGGCACAGCCAGGCTGGCATTGAGGGCATGGATCCCTTCAGGACCCATCACCTTCTGCCTGGAAGGACTGAGGTCGCCAATTGGGATGTCCCAGGACTGGTTTCTGAGGATGAAGCCACAGATTTGGGATCAGGGAGTGGAGCTGAGGGCTGGACTCGTCCAGCAGGGAGTGGGGATGTTTGCTGTGGTTCTCTGCTGCCTTTCCACACTGGCTCTGCATCAGAGCCAGGCTCCAAGGCTCCAACAACATTCCCAGTGCCTGCTGAGGACCTCCCATGGGAAATGGTTTCCCTGGGCCGTGCCCTGTCTCTGGAAGGGGCTGCTCACACAGAGGGCATGGTCACACATGGGGGGACACCAGCAGCCATCCTGCAGCCAGGAGATGTGGACTTGTTGTTTGCCCCCAGCTGGGAGGTCCCATGTCCTGCCAGCCCAGCCGCCCCTGAAGAGCTTCCTGGCACATTGTCCATTGCAGGGCCTGCCATCCCGTGGGATTTTGGGGAGCTTTCTGCTCCAACCCACCCACTTTCAGCAGGAGATGTGGCTGTCCTGGAGCCCCAGGCTCAGGGGATGCCACCAGCCACCAGGGATCCTACCATGGATGCTGAGGAACCTCCAGGGGCCACCACCACCGCCATGCCCTTGATGGTGGAGGAGCTTCTGGAAGCCCCACCGCCCTTTGCTGACGTGCCTGTTGCCACTGTGCCACCACCAGCAGCTGAGCCACTCACCTCGGGTGCCAGGGACCTCAGTGGTGACCCCGTGCCATTGGTGGTCTCCTTGGAGGATACAGATGACTTTGCCATCGCGGTTGTGCCGCCCGTCCTGGAGCACCTGCCCGCTGAAGCGGTGGCTTTGGAGGACGACCCCGTTGGGAGCTTACCTGCAGCAGGGGTGGCAGCTTGGGAGGGTCCCCCTGGTGCCTTCTCAGCCCTCCCAGAAGGCCCCAGAAGGGTGCTGGGGACACCCTTTTCCACAGCAGCCAGGGCACAAACCCTCCCCAGGGCTGTGTTGAGGGGCCCCCTCCGTCCCCGCAGCTGTGGGGGTGCCCTTTCCCTCTGTCCCAGCGAGGGACAGAGGACACCGGGCATGGAGGGACCCCTCGGTGCTGCTGCCATGGCAGAAGGGCCCCCAGCTCTCCCAGATGGATTCGTTCCAGATAACGAGGTATTTGTTGCTCAGGCTCCCGCAGCCGGGGCTCCAGGCACAGAATTCACTTTATTTTGCACTCCAGGGATGGGTGGGAGGTGGGAGCCCACTCAGTAACGCACGATCTGGGCTTCCAAACAGCCTTCTCCCTCCTGAGATCGGCTTGAATTTGGCAGGCAAAAAAGTTTGGGGTTTTTTTTGGGGGGGGTTGGGGTGTGTGGGGGGAATTGTGTGATTGTGTAAGTAAGGGAGGCAAAAGATTCTTGCTGCTCGATGACCTGAAATGTTGACTTACACTTTTTTGGCTTATTAAAGTACATTGTGGTCACTCAGATGGAAATCGCGGACTTTAGAAAAAAAACCTTCTCGCTGGCTCCTGGCAGGGAGTTCCCATCTTTGAAGCAGAAAATCTATCAGGGAAGAGAAACCTGTAAAATGAATTAAGTGCAAGCAATTCCTGCCCTGTGCAGTCATCGCTGCCTGTAGTTTTTTTCTGTGAGCATTGAGGTGCTGAGGCTCAGGAGGTGCTTGGGAAGGGGCTCAGATTCCCTCTGTTGTTTGGGGATTTGTGTTGCTCTCTTGCCTGGAGAGACCTCGGTGCTGGAGTTCCCACAGCCCAGCGCTGATTTCCTGCCATCTGGAACAGGAGAAATATCACTAAGGAGACATCAGAAGTTAGTCAGCACCAAAAATCCCGATTTGGTGGCAATTACTCATCCTTTGGGCTGTACCACCCCTTTGAGATACACACGTGGAGGGGCTTGGAGAGGTGGTTTCACATGGGGGTCCACGTGAGCACAGGCTGGGACACCCAGAGGGGACCTGGGTGAGGGAAAAACCATTGGGTCCTTGCCATAGTTGTTTCTGTTTTTTGAAATTCAGTGAGGGGGAACCTTATTTTAGGTTCAGCACCTCTGATTGTTAACCCCACAAACCTTCCCCCTTGCTCCAAGCATTGCTGGAGATGCTTCCTGGAATTCCACAATCCAGCAGCAGAGGGGTTAAGGGAGATGAGGGAAGCAAAGGGATGCTTTGGGAAGCCTTTCTGGGAGTGAGGAGGAGGAGGTGTGGCGGAGCAGATGTCCTTCTGCTCTCCCCAAATGTCTGTCCAAGGCAGGACACCTTGCTCCACAGCAAAGGGGAGTCATTAAATATTTGTTTCCAAGCTGAGTCACAGCGAGGTTAATGAGCTAAATCACTGGAATCTTTCATGAGCAAAGGAAAACAAGTGTGTTGGACACGCTCACCCTCAGGCTGTTGCTGGGATTATTTTTGTCAGGCTCCTCAGGGAGTTCTGGGCTCTCAAGCTGGCCGATACCTGTGTTGCAGGTACCCCTGGCTGGATCATCCAGGCTTTTCCACAGGGCTCCCTCCCTGCCTGGCTCCTTTGGAGTTTGTTTTGCAGTACATGGAGAGCTCAGACCAGCCTGGCATGCCAGGCTTATCAGCCTGATCCTTTTGTGGGTTTGGCTCTTGTACCCAGCAGCTCCATATATAAACAGTAACAGGAGAACAGCCCAGGAATTGGCGATTCCAAGTCCCCATTTATTTCTTATAACCGTGGCAGAATTCTCCATGAGCAAACAGCTCTGGACAGTGTCTGCCAGCTCACCCTTCGCTCTGTCCTGGAGGGACCTCCCTGCCCTCCAGTTCCTGAGCTCTACTGGGAAAAAGTAGCTTTTTTTTCCTTTGGAAATGAGGCAGGGAAAGTCGAAGCAGTGCCTCTTGCTCAGGCTGGGAGCTGTGCCTGTGTGTTTTGGGGGATTTTGGTGTTTTTAGGGAGTTTTGCTTTGTGCTCCTCTGGAGCAAAGCGGTCGCTGGGCGCAGAGAGCCGTGTCCTCCACGAGCTGCTGCTCTGCTGGGGGAGATCTTGCATCCAAGTAGGAATTTTTCAGTGCAGGCGGTGCCCCTGCATTCTTGGGCACAGGGAGCAGGTGGCTGCTTGCCATCCCCTCTGCTTCCCAACGGGAAAACACGACAGGGCCAAGGGCTCTGCTGCTGCCCAGTGCTGGCTGTGGGGTGACCTGTGCTCTGCATGGGCTCCTGGGCCAGGGCAGCAGAGCCAGCCAGCAATCTGCTCCCTAGTTTTGGGGTGTTTGCTGTGGGGCACAGGGCAGGCTTGTCCCTTGGGACTGGTGGGGAAGGACTGCACGGGCAGCACGCGTGGTTCCAGCAGATCCCCAGCTCTGATAAAGAGCATTTATCTCCTCCGGAGGAACAGGATTCTCCCTGCTGCCTCTCCTGACAATGGGGAGCTTCATTCGCTCTCCTCCCCCTTCCCTATCAAATCTTTTTTGGTTTAGAAAGCTTTTCCCCACAGGATTCCCAGGCAGGACCGTGCCAAATCCGTGGTGAACGACTCGCACATTAATTGCCTATTGCCTTTGTCTTTCGAAATGCAGCGAGCTCCTCGCTGCCTGTAATTTCGTGGTTAACAAAACTCATATGATGTCAGGTCTCTGTTCTCAATAGCTTCACTGTGAGAATTGCTTGGGGTTTTTCCCCAGGAGCATTATTTCCCAATCTGATGGCGAGTTGGAGACGATGCTCTCATTTCTTCCTCAGTCTTCTCCTTTTACCTCACTCCAGTGCTTTTCCCAGGAAAAATGGGATTTACCCATTTAAAACCAGAGGTGGGTGTGGATAGACACTGAGTTGTGCTCCAAACCAACAGATTCCTGTGACATCTGTGTCACTAGGTCAAGGCAAGGGAGGAGTTTAGACAAACTTGCACAATTCCAATAAAATCTGTGCAAGTGGCTACTGCATCTTCCCTAGAGAGGAAAGCCTGTTGTATCCATGGAAAGACTGAGTGGCTGGAAGAGCAGCTCACAGCTTATAAATCACCTTTTCTCTCCCACCTTTTCCACCCCACAGCAATTCCAGAAGGAGCAAGTTGATCCCCTCCAGCTAAAGCTGCAGCAAGTCAATGGAGTTGGTCAGGGACTCATCCAAAGCGCCGGGAAAAACTGTGATGTCCAAGGGCTGGAGCATGACATGGAAGAAATCAACACCCGCTGGAACACCCTCAACAAGAAGGTGGGAGCATGGGGAGGAGCTGTTCCTGGCTTTTCTGGGGTCTGGGGGAAGGAGGGGATCCCAGGCAGGGAGCTGAGGCTCTGGTGCCAGTGCCTGACACTGCAGTGGGGTTGTTTTTGGGGTGCAGGTGGCCCAGCGAGTGGCCCAGCTGCAGGAGGCCCTGTTGCACTGCGGGAAGTTCCAGGATGCCCTGGAGCCACTGCTGAGCTGGCTGGCAGACACCGAGGAGCTCATCTCCAACCAGAAACCTCCCTCTGCTGAGTACAAGGTGGTGAAAGCCCAGATCCAAGAGCAGAAGGTGAGTGAGCACTGGGAGGGGAGCTCAGGACAACCAGACAAGATTTTGGGGGTTCAGCTGGGATGTCCATACTTCTCTCCTGGTGGATCTCAGTTCCTCACAGCCCAGTGCAAAGAGCAGTTTGCCCACACTCAAGAATCTCCATCACCTAAATCACCGCGTCCATTCGTTGTCCCGCTGCCTCTTGAAGTTGGTTTTGCTGGTTGGCCGTGTTTTTCCAGCCCTGAGTTTTGCTTTGTGCTGATAATTCTGCTGTGTCAGGAGCGAGCTGGTGGTGGTGCAGGGCCTGGTTTGGGTGTTTGGACAAAGGGAATGTTACAAAGTGTGAGAGCAGCCCCAAGGTGTGCCGGTGTTTGCTGAGATAACAGCCCGGGGTCGGCGCCTGCCCTCCGAGTGGGAGGAGGGGAGGTCAAGTGTGGTCATGGGGAAATATTTTAGAAATGAATTCTTACCCAGGCTTGTGGAGGTTGCAAGAGGAAATGTGCTTCAAGTGGAAGTTAAAAACTTGATAAGTTGGAGGGGGTTGGTGGGAAAGACTCGGAAAACTCTTCTGGCACAGAAGTGGTTTGGATCTTGAGTAGTGTAAGAGAGGGAAGGGGGAAGGAAGGGGAAATAAAAGGGGAAAGTGAAAAGGGAAAAGAAAATGGAATGGAATGGAATAGAATGGAATGGAATAGAATGGAATGGAATAGAATAGAAGAAATGAAATGAAATGAAATGAAATGAAATGAAATGAAATGAAATGAAATGAAATGAAATGAAAGTTGGATAGGATTTACAATGATCACCCTGTCCAGCTGCCTGACCACTTCAGGGCTGCCCAAATCAAAGCATGTGATTATTATAATGTAATATAACAATATAATATAACTCTATAATTTTTTGAGCTGGTTTTGAAGGCGGAGCCGTGCCCCTGGGCTGGGCCTGGTCTCAGCCCTGTGCTGGCAGCAGTTCTGAGCCACAATTAGAGATGTGACCCCTCCAAGGGCTGGATTTGGTTCTGCTGCCCCAATCTGGTAACTTCCCCCTTCCTTTGCCTGCCCCAAGCTGCTCCAGCGCCTCCTGGACGATCGCAAAGCCACGGTGGAGATGATCCAGGCCGAGGGCGACCGGATCGCGCAGTCGGCCGAGCCCGCGGACCGGGACAAGATCGTGGGGCAGCTGGAGAGCCTGGCCCGGCACTGGGCAGGGCTGCTGGGCAGGGCAGCTGCCAGGTGAGGGGCACTGGGAGCAGCTCATCCCGTGGGTCCCCGTGCCCTGGAGCACGGGGTGACAGCGTTGGGGAAGCTGGCGGAGATTTCGGTGCAGGTACATCCTGGAAACAGCTGGAAAACACGAGGAATCAAAGGCTGGCTGGGAGCTGGTGCTGATAGCAGTGGTTTACAATGGCAGGGAAGAGCTGAGATTAAATAATTTCCCTGCAGGGGAGGGATGTTATTTTTATTCCTGTAAGCTTTAACGAGGAATTGTTGTTAAAGCAACATCCTGTTGACACCTTTATGCTGCCAGAATTTTGTTTATGAGTTACTTATTTCTACCTAAGCTGATGTTTGAGGTTATGAAGTCACTTCTGAGGCCAGATTGGACCTTTCTCCATGCTTTTAATCATTGCCAGCAAGCTGGACTGTCCATCCAGGACTGTCGTTAACCAGAAGCTCTGAAAGACCAAGAGCCTGGTGGAGGGATCTCCAAGACAGTGATAGGGGTGGACCAAATGGAACTAAATGATCTTCAAGGTCCTTTCCGTCTCAAACTGTTTCATGAAAAGCTGCACAATGGGGAAGCCCTTCTGCTACCTTCACAGGGCAATAAACTAAAGGCACAGCTGCAGGAAAAGCTTTTTTTGCAGTTCCTCCACACTGGTTTTTATCTTTGCCATTGTAGATTGCCTGACAATTGTGTCTCACCTTGCTCTGAACAGAGCTGCTTATTCCAAATACCTGAAGCTGCTTCCCATGCCTGGCTCCAGCTGGGAGCTGCTCCTTAGTGTTTTCACTGACTCAAAGAATCACAGACTGGTTTTGGTTGGAGGGGACCTGAAAAACCATCTTGTTCCAACCCCCTGCTGCGAGCAGGGACACCTTCCCCCAGACCAGGTCGCTCCAACCTGGCCTTGAACAATTATTTCCTTCTAATTTTATGATTACTTTTTATAGGCAGAAGCAGCTGGAGGATATCTTGGTGCTGGCAAAGCAGTTCCACGAAACCACGGAGCCTGTGTCTGACTGGCTGTCGGTGACAGAGAAGAAATTGGCCAACTCTGAGCCCATTGGCACCCAGACTGCCAAAATCCAGCAGCAGATCAGCCGCCACAAGGTAGGACCCGTGCAGGAGCAGGATGGAGGTGGTTGGAGTCAGGTCCCGCTCCAGTGGTGTTGTTTCCACCACAACCAGAGAGAGTTTTGGCACAAACAAGGACTGGAGGAGTTATCCAGGCTGTTTTATGTACAGAGAAGGCTGCAAGCCCTGACCCACCAGCGTGGGTAAACATTAAACCGGTGTCCTTGCACCTCCCAGCAGATTTGGATAGAAAAAAACCATCCCCATTCATGTGTTTCTTTTTAATTTCTCCTCAGTTTACCCATTCAGGGGTGGCTTTTATGTCTCCTCCATTTCTCAGTTACGTTCATTGTTGCGTTCCCCCTTTTAAGTTGCGTTTATTTCATTCTCCTCATTCTCCGCTCATTTTTTTTTTTCCCCTGTTGTCCATTCTACCCTCCACCATTCAGGCTCTCGAGGAGGACATAGAGAGCCACTCCACCGACGTGTCTCGGGCGCTGGGGGTCGGGCAGTCTCTGTCCTCCCTGAGCTGTGCTGCTGAGCAGAGGCTGCTGGCAGAGAAATTAGAGGCTCTGCAGAGCCGCTACGGCGAGGTCCGGGAGCGGTGCGGCCGCAAGGCAGCACTGCTGGACCAGGCTCTGGCCAACGCCAGGATTTTTGGGGAGGAGGAGGTGGAAGTGCTCAACTGGCTGGCTGAGGTGGAGGACAAGCTGGGCTCAGTGGCCATAAAGGATTTCAAACGGGACGTCCTGCAGAAGCAGCATGCCGACCAGCTGGTATTTCCCCTTTATTTTTGGTTTTTTGTTTTGTTTTTTTTCTTCTTCCATGTTTGTGTTGTTTGTTTTGTTGCATTTTAGCTGGTTTTGTTTATGTTTCTGGGGCCTGGTTTTAATTTTGTGAAGCTCCTTCTGCTGCTGGGTCTGTCTGAAGTTTGGAGAGGAGTGTAAAGAGATTTCATGTGTTATAAACAACAATTGTGGCCCCCCCCCCCACCAAAAAAAAATGGGTTTCTCAAGGCGGGGGAACTTCAAATGGTTTGTTTGATTTGTGAACAGTGTCTGAGCCAGCTTGGCCACCCTATGCCTTCAGAAAGCTGGATGCTGTGTCCAAAACTGAGAGCTGGAAAAGTCTGGTGGGTTTTTGGAGCTGGGCTGGCCACTGAGGAAGCCCCTGCATCCGCTCCCTGGGGCTATGCAGCCTCTTTTCAAGAGTGAGGTTCTGTCTAATACAAGGGCGAGTCCTTTGGTGACACAGATCCAATGGGTTGGGTTGGGTTTGCTCTGGGATTTGGGCCTTTGAGTCCCAAAAACCCCAATAATTCCCATAGCAGAATGACTGGACAGTTTTCAGATGGGTTGTCCAGCCTGCCTGTGCTCAGTAGGGAAGTTCATGTTCCCCACAGCATCTCTGGCTGGCAGGACACAGGAACCTGCCTGCAGCAGAGTAACCCAAATTTGCCTTTTATCTTCAGGCTCTGAATGAGGAAATTGTGAACAGGAAGAAGAATGTGGACCAAGCCATTAGAAATGGACAAGCTCTCCTGAAGCAAACCACAGGTAACACAGAGGAGATCTGGGAAATGTGGGAGGTCTGGGAATCCATCCTCCACATGCCTTTCCTTGGGAAGTCCATGCTCTGTTGGGTGGAGGCTTTTCTCCCTCAGGTCTTCATTTCCTTTTGGAAACTCCCAGAGTAGCTGGTTTGCATCCAGGCTTGGATGCTAAGCCACAAGAACTCCAGCTTAAGATTTGCTTGGTCCCAAAATCCCAACCTCCCAGCTTGGGGAGTGGGTGATTCCCACTGCTGCTGCTGGGATGCTCAGTGCTGAGGGAGGCTTTTCTCACTGCAGCCAGCTGCTAAATCACATGGAAAAGAGGTTAAAAATACCCCCAGCCCTCTCCTGATACTGTTTTCCCAGACTGAGCAGTTGTGGCTGTTGCCACGTGGGTGTGAGTTTATGTTTATGAGTGGGAAGAGAGGTCGGGGCGCTGCGTTTCCTTCAGATGTGGTCTGCTCAGAGCAGATGTACAGCCCTGTGTCCTTGTGGGAGCTGTGGAGCAGGAAGAGTGATTACAAAGGATTTGGCAGGCAGCTCTGTGTCCTCTTGGAAACAGCAGCGAGGGGTGAACTGACCCTTTTCTCTTGGAGCTGTGACGCGTTGATGAGAACTCAGTTGGGTTGGGGTTGGAGAACCGGCTTTAGTTTAGGGTGGCTTGTGACAAAACCAGGCTTTGCATCCCATCCCATCCCATCCCATCCCATCCCATCCCATCCCATCCCATCCCACCCCAGGCATGAGGTGGATGTTGTGCTGGTGGAAGATGTCAACTCTTACTAAAACCAGGCTGAAGCCGCGTTAATACAAAGAAAAGTGAGGCTGAAATTAAAAGGGGGAGAAACAGAGCAAGTGTCTCCTGAAGCCTCCTGGGGTGACTCCTGAAGCCCCCGGAGCCCAGCATCATTTTCCCCCTGCTGCAGGGGAGGAGGTGCTGCTGATCCAGGAGAAGCTGGATGGAATCAAGACCCGCTACTCCGACATCACCGCCGCCAGCTCCAAGGCCCTGCGCACGCTGGAGCAGGCCCGGCAGCTGGCCACCAAATTCCAGTCCACCCACGAGGAGCTCACTGGGTGGATGAGCAAGGTGGAGGAGGAGCTGGCCTCCAGCGGGGCACAATCCCCTGCTGGAGAGCAGATCCCCCAGTTCCAGCAGCGACAAAAGGTGGGAGAGGAGCAGGGGTGGTTTGTTCTCTGCTTTGGGAGGCTGGGGAGGACACACATGCATGGGTGCCTTCCACAGGAGCTGAAGAAGGAGGTGATGGAGCACAGGCTCGTGCTGGACACGGTGAATGAGGTGAGCAGGGCTCTGCTGGAGCTGGTTCCCTGGAGAGCCCGGGAGGGGCTGGACAAGCTGGTGTCGGACACCAACGAGCGCTACAAGCTGGTCAGTGACACCATCAGGCAGAGGGTGGAGGAGATCGATGCTGCTATTCAGAGGTCTCAGCAGGTGAGTGAAGAACCCCTGCAGGGTTTGCTTGGGAGAGCAGGAGCCAGCAGCCAGGCCCTGCTCAACACCAGTGGCAGTGGGAGGGATGGCAGGCACAGGCAAAGGGCAAATCCCATCAGGAAGGCCAAGGAATGGACCCCAGCAGCAGCTGTGGCAGCAGGGATGGTGGCTGACCTGTCCTGGTGTGTGTTTTTGGGATGGCTGACCTGTCCTGGTGTGTGGTTTTGGGATGGCTGACCCATCCTGGTGTGTGTTTTTGGGATGGGATAACTCTGGAGCTGCGCTGTGTTGTCGTGCCTGTGAGCTTCTGCCTGCAGGGGTGATGTGGATGGTGTGAAACTGGTGATGGGTGACTGTCAAAGCTGGGAAAACATCATCCCCCACTGGGAGAGCACAGGGATTTGTTCCAGGCCAACAGTCCTCCCCAAAAAGGCTTGTCCTGCATGAACTGGAGGCTGTGGAGTGCTGGGAATATCTGACCTCACTCCATGGAGTCAGTTCTCCATGGAGGAGCCAAGGAAATGCTCCTGTTTATAGGGATGTCCCTTTCCCTGCAGGCAGGGAGGGTGTGGGGAGAGGTGGCTGCTCCAGCTTGCCCCAAAACCAACTGCAGGAGCCACAAAACCTGAGCCCCACGCCAGTGTCCCCTTCTCCCCACACTGGGGCGAGGAGTTTGTCCCTGCTGGGTCCCTCTGTCATTCCCAGTGTCCCCAGCTCCCTGTGTGCCCCATCCCTGCTGCCCAGCACTGACCACTGCCCCTCCTGTCCCCTGTGCCAGTATGAGCAGGCAGCAGATGCAGAGCTGGCCTGGGTGGCTGAGACCAAGAGGAAGCTGATGGCTCTGGGTCCCATCCGCCTGGAGCAGGACCAGACAACGGCTCAGCTGCAGGTGCAGAAGGTCTGTGTGCACTCCCTGATGGCTGCTGGGGGTGGGCACCAAGGAGGGATGGTCCAGTTCGGGTCATGGGATGCATTTTGGGGGAGCAGCTTTACCCTGAGGTGTGCAGTGCTGAGCTCAGAGCAGCAGGAGAGATGCAGCACTTGTCCTTGAGATGTGAAAGGAACAAAAAAAAAAAAACCAAAGGAAAAAAGTGCTGTAAATCATCCAAGTGTTTGGCTACCAAAGGAAAAAGCTTCCTGTCTGTTCACAGGAGCCATTTAGGGCTTGATGGGTGCTTTGCTTTGGTCTCCCTTGGGAGAGAGCTGCTCCCATGGAAGCCTTTCCAAGCTCTGCCAGGGTCTCACCGGAGCTGGCAGCAGGGAGGGTTTAGAGAAATGTATATATGGATTAATGAGGGTGGTTTCCATTTGCTTTTTGCTCATTGTTCCCTGCAGTGAGGGACTCCACAGTTCCCTCCCAGCAGCCAGACGTGGAACAAAGAGGTGCTGGAGGGGTTGGGATTGTTGTTTTTTTTTTTCTATGTATCTTTGAGATGAGCTCATGCCTGAAAGAACGTGGACTTTAAATAAACCCTTTTCTTCCCTCTGCCTGGGCGATCAGAGCAGCACACAGGCTTATTGGATTTAAAATTAAAGAAAAAAAAAGGAAAATAAGACAGTGTTATAAGAGAGGGGGGATTGAACCATCGAGCATTAAGTTAAATTGAGCTCAGCTTCCCACTGTTAATCTCGTGGACCTTGGGAATGGCAAAGTTATTGGTGGATGCAGCTCTGGAGAGCATCATTTTGTAGGATAACATTCACTAACAAATGGATGATGGAGCTTTTCCTCCACTGAGGACCTTGGGTGTGGATTGTATCTAATTTTAAGAGCTGGTTTTGGGTTTTTGAAAGAGAGAAGCTGGTGTAGATGAGGAAAACAGGCAGGAATCTGCATTCTCAGCCAGACTTTCAGTTTGCCACAGGATGCTTGCTCTGAGTTTTGCAGGGTCTCTTTGGCAGGAGGGTGCTGTGGATGGGCTGGGGGGAGGCTGGGCTCAGCTCTGAGTTCTCCCCTTTCTCTTTTCAGGCATTTTCCATCGACATCATCCGGCACAAAGACTCCATGGACGAGCTCTTCAGCCAGCGCCACGAGATCTTTGGCACCTGTGGCGAGGAGCAAAAAGCTGTTCTCCAGGTGAGCCCCCTCTGCCATTGACTGCAACAGAGAGGTGAATCCTCAGCCCTTGCACGGGCTGAAGGAGTTGAAAATGACTCCATCTTCAGTAATTCCCACCAGTGTTAGCAGAAATCTCTTTACATTTATGACTCTCCTTTATTGCCTGTTTTTATTGCAAGGTTTGGGGATAGGGAGGGGGAGATTCCCGAGGCTGCTTTAATTGGAATTACAACGTGGAAGGCCACCAAAGGCACCTCCTTCCTTTCCAGCTCTCAGCATGGAGCTGGCCCTTTTTCTGGGCCCTTTTGCATCCCTCCTCATAACTCCTCCCTATTTTTTTAGGAGAAGACTGAGTCCCTGGTGCAGCAGTATGAGGCTGTGAGCCAGCTCAACTCGGAGCGTTACGCCCGCTTGGAGCGTGCCCAGGTCCTGGTGAACCAGTTCTGGGAGACCTACGAGGAGCTGAACCCATGGATTGAGGAGACCCAAGCCCTCATCTCCCAGCTGCCACCCCCAGCCATCGACCACGAGCAGCTCAAGCAGCAGCAGGATGACATGAGGGTAAGAGGATGCAGAGCATGAGGGTAAGAGGATGCAGAGTTTGCACCTCCTGTCCATCAACACAGGGCAAGAGCACCTTTTTCTTCTGAGTTTTCCTCCATTTTCCCCCCCTTTTCTGTTCTTTTTGGGGGGTTTGCTTGTGTTATGCAAGAGTGCCACATGAAAATCCCTTGTTATGTTGGAACGCTCCTTACCAAAACTCAGCTTGCTTCCAAGGAAACCTGGCTGCTTTTGGATCTCCTTCCTGCTCGTGGCAGGAAAAAAAAAACACTTTGTGCTTTTAGGGTAGAGACTGCAAAGCAAAAATTCCCAGTGGGGTCCTCCGTGGAGCTGTGGGGAGGGTCAGAGGCTGGGGAAGGACCCGTGCCAGGCACTGTGCCATAGCCATGTTGGGAAGAGCCGAGTGCCATGTGCTTGGCAGATGCTGGGGCATGAAATCCAGGGTGTGAGTTCCTCCCAGATACCATCCCTGCTCTTGGAGTGCTGTTTGGAATAAATAGGCAGTGGCTTGCAGCAGATTTCTAAACAAATGTGGTTTTTTTTCTTCCCCCCCTCCCTCTATTCCCTAGCAACTGAGAGAGTCCATCGCCGAGCACAAACCTCACATCGACAAGCTGCTGAAAATTGGGCCCCAGCTCAAGGACCTCAACCCCGAGGAAGGGGAGATGGTGCAGGAAAAATACTCCAGGGCTGAAGCCTTGTATGCCAAAATCAAGGAGGAGGTTTGCCTGCGGGCCCTGGCGCTGGACGAGGCGTTCTCACAGTCCACCCAGGTACGCCAGGGTGCCAGGGAGGTGAATCTTCCTCTCACAGCCCCCTGGGAGAGCCACGTGCTCTGGAATGTGGTTTTATTCCCCCTGTAAAAGCCCTTTATAAGGAATAACATGGTCAGGCACCTCCAGGGTAGTTTCCTGTGGCTGTGGGAGCAGAGGAGAAGGCGTTTGAGGCTCCACACGGTAAATGGGGTCGTAAATTTTTACGACCTCAGTAATGATGCTGGTTCAAAGGGGCTGCTCTGGCATCCACCCAAGGTTGGAAGGGCCTCTTGAAAGAGCTTGAAGAGATAATTTTCAGTTGTGATAAGCTGTGAGTGCAGTGAGCAGCCATGGGATGCTTTGTATGGGAGAGGTAATGGATGTCTCTGGGGTCTGGGCATCTCCTGAGGAGGTGGGTGAGTGCAGGAGGAGAAATAGGCAAGGAAGGGCAGAGACTGGAGGTGGTAAAGTCCAGAAAGGGGTTGAAGTGCTCCTGCTGCTGAGGGTTGCTGACCCCCAGCTCTGTTTCATTTCACCCCGTGTTACCGTAGCGCAGTTGGTTTTTGTCACGTCCTGGGTGTTTATTTTCTTAATTCCTGTATTGTGTAGTCACTTCTCTTGGTTTGCACTTGTATTAACTCCGAGTTTTTCCCCCCCCACATTCCCCTCCCCTCTCATCTCTCACTCCCATTGTGGAATGTGTTGTCTGTGTGTGTTGCTGCCTGTGCCCGTCCTCCCCACATGGTCCCATTTCATTCTTGTGTTGACTGCGCCCCACCATTGCAGATTTCGGAGGTAAGCGAGTCCCCCCTCCACAGATGTTCATTTACCCTCCCTGGCCTGGTTCTATTTGACACCTAGACTTTCATTTCTGGTCCATGCACAGCTCAGCAGAACTTGCTTCAAATTTAACGCCGGGGATGGGGCTGGAATCACATTTTTGGGATGGCTTTGGTTGCGTTGCTGCCTGGTCTCAGCTTCTGCTGGGAATGCTTCCTGAAGGGCAGAGGTTTTGCTTCTGGAAGGGTTCACACTGCTCCAGCTGGATATGCTGGCTTGCTCCTGCTTGTTGGCTGAGCCAGCCTGTCCTGATCAACTTTGCACCAAGAGCCCCAGCCCTTCTCTGCTGGGGTTTGCTGGGCACCTGCACTGGTGTGTTCCCAGCAGGAACTGGGAGATGGACAGGAGCAGCCCCAGTGCTGAGCTGTCCTTCCCACCAGCAGAGACAGTTTGGGATCTTTAAGGCCAAAGTTGACTTCTCTCTTTAAAAAACCAACAGTAAACCCTGCTAGACCCCCTTCCTCCCTCACTCCTGGCTTTCTGGTTCTGCTTTTGAGGCTGCAGCTCCATGGCAGCTCCTCCCCACCTGCATGCAGCTCCTGCTAATCCTAAAAAACTGGGAGGGGTTTCCACTGGCCTTGCATCATGTGGAGATTCCCATCAGCACCAAACACGGGCGCTTTTCCAGCAGCATTTTTTTTGTCTGGCTATTCCCTCAACCAACACTGAGGTTTTGTGCCCAGCCACCAAAACAGAGACAGCGGCAAAAAAAAGCGAAAAATTTTCAGGGCGCTGCCGTGTTTGGGTAACAGGTGCTCCGTGAGTGTCTGTGGGCTCTGCTGGAGCAGGGCAGGTGTGATCAGGAGGCTGCAGGGGTGGCATTGCTGCTGCAGGGGTGGCATTGCTGCTGCAGAGGTGGCGTTGCTGCTGCAGAGGTGGCGTTGCTGCTGTCGCGGGCGTTTGTCCGTCCCCTCTCCGAGGCGGCGCGGCACTCGGGGCTGTCGCTCGTGCTGGTGGCTCTGCAGTGTCACTTTGTCCCCTCCCTCCTGCCCTAATGGCTTTGCTCCTCTGCAGTTCCACGACAAGATCGAGCCCATGCTGGAGACCCTGGAGAGCCTCTCCTCCCGCCTGCGGCTGCCGCCCCTGATCCCCGCCGAGGTCGACAAGATCCGCGAGTGCATCAGCGAGAACAAAAACTCCACGGTGGAGCTGGAGAAGCTGCAGCCCTCCTTTGAGGCCCTCAAACGCCGTGGGGAAGAGCTCATCGCCCGCTCCCAGGGAGCAGACAAGGACCTGGCAGCCAAAGGTAGCTCTGGGTGGATTTAAGTGTCCGATTTCTCCCCAAACCACGGCTCCATCGCTGCTGGCGAGGCTTTGATGTCACAGGGGTGTGTCCTGGAGGTTCTTCTGGCTTTAGGAGGAAGGATGAGTCTTCTGGATGGATTTGGGAGGTTCTCCTAGACTTAGGACCAAGGTTGGGTCCTCTGTATGGATTTGGGATGTTCTCCTGGCTTTAGGACCAAGGATGAGTCGGATGGATGGATGGATGGATGGATGGATGGATGGATGGATGGATGGATGGATGTGCTTCCATCTGGAGCAGACAGGCTGGCATCAATCAGAAAAGAAAAGAAGCATTTGTGGCTTCTCAGCCCAGCTGGCCTCTTGTTGGTGGCCCCTGGGATAGGATTTGTTGCTGTCCCTTCAGCATCTAATGGAGGGGAGGGACATCCCCCAGCACAAAAAGCCCGTCAGCACGATTGGCACTAATTGGCACCTTCCTTGGCAGATCAACAGGCAGCTCATGCACTGAGTGAGCACGGACTTCATGCTAGAGGTGGCCAGAACAGAGGTTTGTTGGAGGGAGAGTGTGTGGGCAAATTTGCCCTGAGCTTGCACATAAATAAAGGCTTTTCTGCAAGCTGGAGTTTCTCACGTCCCTCTGAGTTAATGCTCTGATAGCCCTGGCCATCTTTATTCCCCTCTGGATATTCTGGTGGCTGTTTGTGAGTGCTTTCAAAATGCTCTTGCATTGTCAAAAGGTTTCCTTCTTCGCTGAACACCTTAATTTCCTTCCACAGTCATCCAGGACAAGCTGGATCAGATGGTTTTCTTCTGGGAAGACATCAAAGCTCGGACCGAGGAACGTGAGATGAAGTTCCTTGATGTCCTGGAGCTGGCAGAGAAGTTCTGGTACGACATGGCAGCGCTCCTGACAACCATCAAGGACACCCAGGACATTGTCCACGACCTGGAGAGCCCAGGCATTGACCCCTCCATCATCAAGCAGCAGGTGGAAGCAGCAGAGGTGAGGCCCATGGGGCAGTTCCTCAGTCTGGAGCTTGTCTGCCCTCAGCTTATCTGCTAAATTGGGAAGATCTTAGATCATGACTGTGGCCCAGAGGTAAATCAGTTTTGTGGGCAGTCAGGCAGATTATGAAGAGTTACTTCCATTGCAGTTTGGAGCTGCGGGGAAAAAAACAGAAGTGGATTTCACATATCCTTCACCTTAAATCACATTATCTGCTGCTGTTTTGGGAAGCACACGGAGCTCTGTGTGGTCAGAGCTCTGTGCCCACTTGCTTGCAGTGATGTGGAGGCTTGCAGGGCTCTGCTCCCAACCCAAGCCAGTGGCTGGCTGGCTTGGGAAGATTATATTTAGATTTTGGTCAGAGCAGAGATAAGTGCTTGGATTTGTCTGTTGCTGGTTGCTTCAAGTGGCAAAATCCACTTCAGGTGGGTTTGAGTTGACTCAGGCCTTGAGAGGCAGGGCTGTTTCTTTATGCTTTCCTAAGTTTAGCCTTGCTGCTCCCTTTTCATAACCATTCTAACTCTGCTTTGTACCTTTTGAACCTCAAAACCCTCACTCCTGTATTGACAAAACGCCCCTGTAAACACCCATCTCCTGTAAACAACATCTTCAGCCAGGACAGTTCAGGCTCACAGCTAAATACAGATGTTGTTATTTTAGTCCCAGAGGTGGGAGCAGAGCAGGGTGGTGGTGGTGGTGGTGACAAAAGTGGCCACCTGCTCTCTGTTGTGGAAGGGGCTGACAGCTGCTCTGTGAGCCAGCAAGGGTTAGCACAAAAAGAAGCTGATAAGGTTCACATTTACCCCTGAAAGGAATTCTACCAAGGTTGTTGACATGGAAACTGAGAAGAAAAAAAGATAAACGAAAGAAACCTGCAGTTGGTTGTTAGCTGAAAACAGTGGTGGAAACTGCTTTGTACCAATGAACCCTGTGTTGATCTGTTGTAACCAGTGAGTAAAGCATAAACTTTGCGGGAAGGTATAAAAGGCAGCATGCTGTTTCAATCAAGATTTGGGGATCTTGAAGCAAAGAGAGATGAGAGAAGCCTTCTGAAATTGCGTATATTTCAGAATTTATTATTTCCAGAATTGTTCTGTGTGACCATCTCAACAGCAGCACTGTGTCACCTGCTCTTGGGGCTTGGAGTTGGGCTCCTGGCCAAGGTGCAGGGCACTGGAGCAGGAAGGACCCTCCTGCTCGTGGAGCCGTTTTGGAAGAGGGTTTGACCAAAAAGGGTTTTCCTTCTGTGGCTGTGCCTCTGCAGACTATCAAGGAGGAGACAGACGGGTTGCACGAGGAGCTGGAGTTCATCCGCCTCCTGGGCACTGATCTCATCTTTGCCTGTGGTGAGACTGAGAAGCCAGAAGTGAAGAAGAGCATTGATGAGGTAGGGAGAGCTTCCCCTCCAGATAAAATCAGGTGGGAGCAAGTGGGAGCTCTGGTTGTGGAGCCTGACGGGTTTTGTGTTGCTCAGATGAACAACGCGTGGGAAAACCTAAACAAGACATGGAAGGAGAGGCTGGAGAAGCTGGAGGAAGCCATGCAGTCAGCTGTGCAGTACCAGGACACACTCCAAGTAAGAGGCAGGGCTGCTGGTGTGGAGTGGGTGGGCCTTGGGAGCACCAGTGTGAGCCCTCTCCATGGAGCTGTGCTGGGATTTGCACTTCCATAAAGCAGGAAACATCTCCTGGGTGAGAGCTCAGAGGGAGCCTGAGCTCATCCTGAGGAGGAGCAGATATTTGACTGCATTGCTCTTCCCAAAGCTTGGTTCAGGATGAGGGAAGGCAGGTGGGAGCTGGACAGAGCTGCCCTGACAGAGGAGTGTCATGGCTGTTTCATCTTCATCCCCTGACCAGCTGCAGGGGGGACACTTGGCCATTCCCTCACGTTGTCCTTGCTCCTTCCAGGCCATGTTTGACTGGCTGGACAACGCTGTGATCAAACTGTGCAACATGTCCCCTGTGGGCACCGACCTGAGCACGGTCAAGGAGCAGATGAACGAGATGAAGGTACCTGGGAGGGGAGGGAGAGGTTCCTGTGGTGCTGCTTTGCCTCACAGAGCTCCAGTGATTCACTCTGCCTCTGGTTTTTGTCCTGCTTGTCTTGGCAGGAGTTTAAAATGGAGGTTTACCAGCAGCAGATTGAGATGGAAAAGCTTAATCACCAAGGTGAACTGATGCTAAAAAAGGCTACGGATGAGACAGACAGAGACATCATCAAGGAACCACTGACAGAGCTCAAACATCTCTGGGAGAACTTGGGCGAGAAAATTGCTCACAGACAGGTAGAGTGAACACCTGGGGCTGCCACAGGATGAAACTGGCTCTGGTGCTCCCCAACCCTTTAAAACTCCCCTTTTCCATCCCTGTCCTTGCCCAGCACAAGCTGGAAGCCGCCCTGCTGGCGCTGGGCCAGTTCCAGCACGCCCTGGCAGAGCTGATGGCCTGGCTGACCCACACTGAGGAGCTGCTGGATGCCCAGAAACCCATCAATGGGGACCCAAAAGTCATCGAGGTGGAACTTGCAAAGCACCACGTGAGTATTTTCCCATTCCAGATACATTTTTAGCCCATATCCACAGCAGCACTCAATTTCTCGTGAAGGATTTGAGCTGTTTTGATCCCTGGGAGCAAGCAGGGCGTTCAGGAGAGGTGTCCAACCTTTGCCCACCTCATGCAGGTGCTGAAGAACGACGTCCTGGCCCACCAAGCAACTGTGGAGACAGTGAACAAAGCAGGGAATGAGCTGCTGGAGTCGAGTGCAGGGGACGATGCCAGCAGCCTGCGGAACCGCCTGGAGAAGCTGAACTCCTGCTGGGAATCAGTGCTGCAGAAAACAGAGGAGAGGGAGCAGCAGCTGCAGTCCACCCTCCAGCAGGTCAGCAAGAGGCATTGGGAATACCCCCCTGTGCTGTGGGCGCCACTTCCCCCTTTGTTTTAGGGAGAAATAAAAGGGGGGAAAGCGTTGGGACGACGCTGGGATTTTTTTGTGGAAGTTTTTCTGTAACTGCTGTGGTTCAGTGCCTGCCCAGAAGTGCACTGGGGACCAGGCACACCTGTGGCTTGTGGACACACCAGTTTCACCCTCCTGAGCACCCTGGCACATCCAGCTCTGCCTCTTTATCTGCTTTCAAAGCAAACACAGCGTTACCCCTGGCGCTTGATCAATGGTGGCTGATGTCATCTGATCCGGGGCCGGTTTCTCTGTTCCCCAACAGGCTCAGGGTTTCCATGGTGAGATTGAAGACTTCCTCCTGTGGCTAACGAGGATGGAGAGCCAATTGTCAGCCTCAAAACCCACGGGAGGTCTGCCAGAAACTGCCCGGGAACAGCTCAATGCCCACATGGTAATTTCTCAGGAGAGATCTTTTTTTTTTCTTTTTTTTCTTTAAAGCTTTTAATTCAGCAAGTGTCTGTCACATATCAGCATCAAAACTTCTCCTTTCTGTGTGTGATGGGGAGAACAGGCTGCTCTGGTCTCCTCTTAGAGATCATTTTGCATTTGATGCCTGGAACAGCCATCAGGGTGCTTTAAGCACCTTCCCTCAGCTCAAAGTGTCGCTCTGCTGTCACTTCCCAGCCTCGTGTTCCCATCACCTGCAGCCTTGCAGCACGACATGTTCCCTCCCTGAGCTTTTCTCTGCCTAACCCTTGGCTGGTGGCTCTTTGCAGGAGCTGTACAGCCAGCTCAAAGCCAAGGAGGATGTCTACAGCCAGCTGCTGGCCAAGGGGAGGCTGATGCTGCTCAACCGCGACGACTCCGGCTCCAGCTCGAAGACAGAGCAGAGCGTGGCCCTGCTGGAGCAGAAATGGTGCCTGGTCAGCACCAAGATGGAGGAGAGAAAGGTAACATTGAGGGGAAAATGCATCCAGCCTTGCCCCATGGTCTGACTGTGACCGTGTTCACAGGGGTCTCAGGATGAGGATCTGACTCCATGTTTCAGAAGGCTTGGTTTATTATTTTATGATATATATTATATTAAAACTATACTAAAAGAATAGAAGGAAGGATTTCATCAGAAGGCTGGCTAAGAATAGAATAAGAATGATAACAAAGGTTTGTGGCTCAGACTCTCTGTCCGAGCCAGCTGGGCTGTGATTGGCCATTAATTAGGAACAACCACATGAGCCCAATCCCAGATGCACCTGTTGCATTCCACAGCAGCAGATAACCATTGGTTACATTTTGTTCCTGAAGCCTCTCAGCTTCTCAGTAGGAAAAATCCTAAGGAAAGGATTTTTCATAAAAGTTATCTGTGATGGTCTGACAGCAGCTGCTCCCTGTTTTCCCACACAAAGTTGGAATTTGGGGTTTTTTTAATCCATCTCCCTTGGTTGTAAAGGTTGGTTCTGTTTCTCAGGTGGTGCTGAGTGTCAAGCTGTTGGCATGGGGTTTTTTATGTAGTCATCAGAATTGGTTAAATCACACAGAAGATGAGGGTGAAATGGTGTTTTGGGTTAATTCAGGGAGGTGGGAAGAAGCCTCCTGCAGCTCTCAAAGACAGGCTTTGTTGGTCCAGCCAAACCCTCCTCCGAGCTGACTCCATCGTCAGCTTTTGGCTGGGGATGAGATAAAACAAGGGCCGTGGTGGCCTGGGCCCAGAATAAATCTGCAGCTGCTGCCATCAGAACCTCATCCCCCATCCAGCCAGCCCTGTCCCCACGGAGATCCCTTTCCCAGGAAGCTGAGGGTGACGCAGCTGCTCGTGTGCTGAGGAAGGGCTCCTCTTTCAGGGACCATTCTTGTTTGCAGAGAAAGCCTTGCCTTTCAGTGCAGCCCCCTCCCCTTGGCACAGCAGTGGCGTTTCTGGGCTGGGGTGATGAGGTTCCTGTTGCAGGGACACAAAGGCTGCCTCTGTGTGCACATCAGAGCTCTCACCCCTCCGTGTTGTGTTTTTTCCTCTCTTTCTCCCCCTTCCCCGCTGCCACAGGCGAAGCTGGAGGAGGCATTGGCCCTGGCCACAGACTTCCAGAACTCCCTCCAGGATTTCATCAACTGGCTGACCCTGGCTGAGCAGAGCCTGAACATTGCACCGCCCCCCAGCCTCATCCTGGCCGCGGTGCTGGCCCAGATCGACGAGCACAAGGTACCCCAAGGGCTCCATCCCTGAGATGGGGGGAGCCAGGGTGGCTCCTCACCTCTCCTGTGGCCCCTGGAGGTCACACCCATCCCCTCTGACACGTGGGACACCCTTTGGTGTTGGCAGGTGTTCGCCAACGAGGTGAACGCGCACCGGGATCGCATCATCGAGCTGGACCAGACTGGGAACCAGCTGAAGTTCCTCAGCCAGAAGCAGGACGTGGTGCTGATCAAGAACCTGCTGGTCAGCGTCCAGTCCCGCTGGGAGAAGGTGGTGCAGCGCTCAGTGGAGCGGGGACGGGCTCTTGATGATGCCAGGAAGAGAGCCAAGCAGGTGAGGGGCATGGGAAGGGTGTGGCAGACCCCAAGGAAGGCCCAGCAGGACCAAAAAGGGCCTGGGGACACCACCAGTGTGACGTTTCAGGCTTGCTTGCATTGCCTTGCAGTTCCACGAAGCCTGGAAGAAGCTGATTGATTGGCTGGAGGATGCAGAGAATCACCTGGACTCAGAGCTGGAGATCTCCAATGATCCTGACAAAATCAAGCTGCAGCTCTCCAAACACAAGGTGAAGCTCTGCCAAAGCCAGGCTGGTGCTGGATGGGGTGGAAGGGGCTCTGCTGGGAGGATGAGCATGGTAACATCTCCTCTGGCAGGACAGGAGAAAAGCCTGTCCATGCCTCCCATTGCCATGGAAATCTGGGAATCCTCACAGGGTTTCCAGGCTTTCTGAAGCAGTTCTGTCTTCTCTCCATTTCCCAGGAGTTCCAGAAGACTCTGGGTGGGAAGCAGCCTGTGTATGACACCACCATCAGGACAGGCAGAGCCCTCAAAGAAAAAGCCTTGCTTCCAGATGACACTCAAAAACTGGACAATTTGCTGGGAGAAGTCCGGGATAAGTGGGACACAGTGTGTGGAAAATCCGTGGAAAGGTGAGCCCAGCCCCAATCTGCACCAGCAGTGCCACAGGGAGGGTGTGGTGTCCCTGGGGTGTGACAGAAAGAGGTGAGTTTGCTCATGATGTTCACTGGGAATGTTTGTTTTCCAGGCAGCACAAGCTGGAGGAGGCCCTCCTGTTCTCTGGGCAGTTCATGGATGCTCTGCAGGCTCTGGTGGACTGGCTCTACAAGGTGGAACCCCAGTTAGCTGAGGACCAGCCTGTCCACGGGGACCTGGATCTGGTCATGAACCTGATGGACGCTCACAAGGTGAGAGCAGCTTTCCCCAGCTCTTCTCCAAGTCCTGAGTGGGGCAAAAAGATGCCCCAAAAGATGCCCAAAATGGATGTTGGAAGTGGATGACTCCTGAGAGCTCTGGCTTTCATTTAGGCAGTGATTATAAAAATGTCTTCAACAAAAACTGAAAAATAATGAGAATTGATTCGTCCTCCCCAAGAGCCAAAGAGCAGACGCAGAGCTGATGCTTTGCTGCTTGCCCTGCTTTCCTGCAGTGGATAAAAAGAGGAAAAAACCAGCAAAAAAAACGGGGAGAACTTCCACATTAGTGGAAAGGTGACAGCAGTGGAGCTGCCTGACCTTGCTCAGCTTCTGCTGTGTCCACGCAGGTGTTCCAGAAGGAGCTGGGGAAGCGCACGGGGACGGTGCAGGTGCTGAAGCGCTCGGGCCGGGAGCTCATCGACAACAGCCGGGACGACACCACCTGGGTGAAGGTGCAGCTGCAGGAGCTGAGCAACCGCTGGGACACGGTGTGCAAGCTGTCTGTGTCCAAACAAACCCGCCTGGAGCAGGCCCTCAAGCAGGTGAGGAGAAAAACCACGGCTGGAAACCCTCGGGGTGCTTTGCCGGGCTCCAGGGGAAGAAGAGGTTTTGTCCTCTCCAGGCAGGACATGGCAGCCCTGCAGTGGCTCCTGTGAAGCAGTGGGGTGGTATCAGGCTGTTCCTGGTTGTTTTTTTCCCAAAAAATGAGCAGATAAAGGCTGGTTTGAAAAAGGGAGGATGGAAAGATCTCACTGATGCGCACAGCAGTGATCAGACAGGCCAGGCCGGTGTTTGCCGGTGTCCAGAGAGACTCAAAAAAAAAAAACAACCAAAAAGGTCAAAGGCTCTTAAGCAGCTTTTACTTCAAGTAGGCAATTTACAGAATAAACTACCCAGGTGCCAAATTGCTCAGGATACAGCACTTGTGCTGTTTTTAAAAACATTTCCTTCTTCAGAGCAGCTGATGCTGAGGGGAGGGAGGTGCCAGAGTACCTGGCAGCCCCAAACAGGGCTTTTCCCCCCTTTTTTAGTATTTTTAAAGCCCTTTTCAGCCCTCCAGCTGCCAGGAGTGAATGCAGCAACCTGTTTGGGGAGGAGGAGGGCTGAGCAAAGCCTGTGCTGTTGTTGCTGCAGGCTGAGGAGTTCAGGACAGCCGTGCACATGCTGCTGGAGTGGCTCTCAGAAGCAGAGCAGTCCCTGCGCTTTCGGGGAGCGCTGCCCGACGACGCCGAGGCCCTGCAGGCCCTCATCGATGCCCACAAGGTAATGGGGAGCTCCAAAACACAACCCAGGGCAAGTTTAGAGGGGGGAAACATCAGTAAATAATTCCTTTGTGGCTTGCAGGAGTTCATGAAGAAAGTGGAGGAAAAGAGGGTGGACGTGAACGCGGCGGTGGGGATGGGCGAGGTCATCCTGGGCGCCTGCCACCCCGACTGCATCACCACCATCAAGCACTGGATCACCATCATCCGAGCCAGGTTTGAGGAGGTGAGTCCTGCAGGGCTAGTTCCAGGCTGGTGGTGGTTCCAGGGAGTGCTGGGTCCTGCTCCAGGTTTCCTACACTCCTGGTTTCCTACACTGAGTGGTCACCCCGTGTTTCCAACAGGTTCTCACATGGGCAAAGCAGCACCAGCAGAGGCTGGAGTCAGCACTTTCCGAGCTGGTGGCCAATGCAGAGCTTCTGGAGGAGCTCCTGGCTTGGATCCAGTGGGCTGAGACCACCCTGATCCAGCGAGACCAGGACCCCATCCCCCAGAATATTGATCAGGTCAAAGCGCTCATCTCTGAGCACCAGGTGAGCCCCGAGCTGAGCTCAGGAGAGGGGCAGGGGAGGGAGGCTTCCCCTGCTCCCTGGGTGAGGGAGGCACTGCCTTCTCCTGGAATTCCCTATTCCCAACTGAAGCAAAACCAGCCCAGGGATGATCTCCAGCCCTGGCAAACCCAAGCCAGCCCTGAGCAGCAGTTTAGCCACAAAAATCCCCAATCACTGCTGCTTGATGCTCACCTCCCTCTACAGGCCTGGCATGTCCCAGTGAGGGCTGGAAAGCCAAAAAAGGCTGAAATTACAAAGGGATGTTTTTTTTAATCCTTTCTGTGTTTTGACAGTCCTTTATGGAGGAGATGACACGGAAACAGCCGGACGTGGACCGGGTGACGAAAACCTACAAAAGAAAAGCGACTGAGCCTCCCCACGGGCCCTTCATCGACAAATCCCGCAGCAACAGTGAGTCTGCTTTGGGTCCTAGGATGGCAGGAAATGAAATTCCTAGGGAGATAATTAGCTTTGATTATCAATTAACGAGGCATCCTGCGCCAACAGCCACCAGGAAGGCGCTGAGCCTCGTCAGGAGGGGAGAATCCAGGTGACATTTTCCAAAGCAGCCGTGCTGGGGATGCTGTTCCTGGGGGTGCTTGGGCCAGCACTGCTCCCCTCTCCCTCTCTCTCTCTCTGGGATGAAGTTTTGGGGTCTCTTTATGTGGTTTCTTGAAGCCAGAGTCCAGTGTGAATTCCTGAGTGCTGGGGGATGTGGGTGTAGAGCAGTCTGTCACCCCGTCCTCCTACCTGGGGACAGCAGCCAGCAAGGCTGTGGGAGGTTTTCCCTTCCAAAAAACCAAAACACATTTGACTGCTGCTCTTCAGATGCCACGAACAGCACCTCAAACAACTCCTCTCCCTTTTTTTCCAGGGAAATGCTTGGGGCAGGCTGCTCCCCCCAGCATGCCCATTATCTCCCAGTCAGAAACGAAGAATCCCAGGATAAACCAGCTCTCAGCACGCTGGCAGCAGGTCTGGCTGCTGGCCCTGGAGAGGCAGAGGAAGCTCAACGATGCCCTGGACAGGCTGGAGGAGGTAACAGCCCCTGGCTGCTCTGGGCAGGGTGGGAGCTGGGAGTTCATCCCCAGAGAGGCGCAAGAAGCATTTTAAAGCAGTGTTGCCCCAGCTCTTACAGGCAGTTCCTGCTGCCTTTTCAGAAATCAAATATTCCTAAAATATTAAGGCAAATATTCCTAAAATATTAAGGCAAAAAAACCCTTTGGTGATTAAGTAATTAACTGCACATTAACCAGCTTTATGCCCCTGTATTTGGTATCTGTAGAGTTAATGACAGCCAGGTCCTGCTTTCCTCCTAGTAATTAGTTTAACAATTACTGTCTCTATTTTATCCAACCATCTAATGTCATTTTTGTTTTTATTTATGCTTAACAAAGCAGCTATGCCCAGAAGTGAGTGGTTTTTTTGTTTTCTGTTGCTTTTGCTGTAGGTCAGTTCAGTTCCTTCGTATCCATGTTTTTTCTTTGTTGCTTTTCACCCCAAGAATGTTTAGAGAGAGACAAAAAAAAAAAACCCTTAAAATTGTTGTGTTACCTTGGTGTGAGCTGCTTGAGCTGATGGGGTCCTTTTGGGGTGGGGAGATAAGAAGGGTGTTTAAATTGGAGGGTGTTAGGCTGGGACTTGTAAAGTTGGAAGATGAGCAAGAAATCCCTTCTTGGCTGCTCAGAGGGAAAGGGAGAGGGGAGATCTGTGCCCAGATTGATGCTGGCAGTGGGAATTCCTCCCTGGCAAGTCCCTGGGGTGAGGAAGGCTGAGCAGACGGGGTGTGTGTGTGTGTGTGTGTGTCTGTTGCTGATCCTCCCTGCCTGTGTGTCCCCACAGCAGCGTGGGCAGCGCTGCATCCCCAGCTCCTGGGATGCACAATCCACCTGCTGGCTGTTGGCTCCGCTGTGTCTCCTGTGCTGGGAATTCAGTTTGGGCAAAGCCCTCGCTGGGAATTGTCTGGAAAAATCCAGATAAAGCTTCCCAGGAGGGCAGGCAGGGAGCGGTGGCACCGGGAGCTCACCCAGGGGCGTTTTGGGGTGGATCTGTGAGTGCTGCTCCTTCGGGATTTCCCCCAGTGACTCTCCCTGGGTTTTCCTTCCAGTTGAAGGAGTTTGCAAACTTCGACTTTGACGTGTGGAGGAAGAAGTACATGCGCTGGATGAACCACAAGAAGTCCCGGGTGATGGATTTCTTCCGGCGCATCGACAAGGACCAGGACGGGAAGATCACCCGGCAGGAATTCATCGACGGCATCCTGGCTTCCAGTGAGTCCCTGGGAAACAGCCGTGCTGCTCCTGCGTGCCTGTCTCTGACTGAGGAGCTCATCCTCCCCTCATTTCCTTCTCCTTCCAGAATTCCCCACCACCAAGCTGGAGATGACGGCGGTGGCCGATATCTTTGACCGTGATGGTGACGGCTACATCGACTACTACGAGTTTGTGGCTGCCCTCCATCCCAACAAGGACGCCTACAGACCCACCACTGATGCTGACAAGATCGAGGATGAGGTGAAGCACCAAAAAAAGGGGGTGCACAGCAGGTTTGGGGGTGGTTTCAGGCTGCAGGTTGGCAGTGGGGAAGAGAAAAATTCGATTGAAAGAAGATTTGGGTGGTGCTGAGCCAAGTTAATTGGTTGGAACTGAGAAGGAAAGGCTGCTTGGGGCTGTTTTATCAGAGCAGTGATTTGTGCTGGGGGAGGCTCCCAAAATCCTGGTTGCTCACCTCTGTGTGTGTTGGTGGTGGCAGGTCACCAGGCAAGTGGCCCAGTGCAAGTGTGCCAAGAGATTCCAAGTGGAGCAGATCGGCGAGAACAAATACCGGGTAAGGCAGAGGGGGATGGAAACCCCCCCAGATCCTCCTCCCCCTTCCCATTGAGGGAGGGGGCATCACCCAGGGGCTGCCCAGCTTGGCACAGGGTGGGGCCTTGGGGTGAGGCAGAGACCTTGTTCCCTGGCACTGGCAGAGGTGGCTGGGATGTGTTTTCCCAGCTCCATCCTTGGCCCCAGGGCGTTCCCAGAGCTGGGAGAACATAAAAGTGTCCCTGTTCTGGGGCAGGCAGCCCAGGGGCCCCATGAAATGCTGCATTCACTGGGCTGGAGCCGCCCTTGAAGTTTCCCTCCTGGATGAGTGTACCTTGTGCCTGTGTTTTTCTTAGCTCGCTCCCGAAGAAGGGAGAAGAATTTCCTGACAGAATCTCTTTGTAACCAGCTGCTGGTTGCGTTTCAAACCCTTCACCGAGGTGAAGTGGCGGCAGAATTCCCACTTTCCTGCCCCAGCCGGGTTTGGGGTTGATGTTCCAGCTGGGAGGAGCTGATCCCCCTCCAGCAGCACCGGCCCCAAGCTCCCAGAGCTTCTCCTTCCCCCCAGATAGCCCAAACCCCCCTGGATTTCTAACTCCTGCAGTTAACAGATTTCATGATTATTGCACTGTTAATCCCATAAATGTTTTTCTTGTTTTTTCTTTCCCCTCCTCTTCCTCTGGACTTTCCTCCCCTCTCCCCCTTCCCTCTCCCTCCATAGTTCTTCCTCGGCAATCAGGTACAGTTTACCTCGTGGTGCTGTCTCTCACCTCTGGAGTTTTTTTAACCCCTGTGTGTTGTGATGCTGCTCTGTCCTGTGGTGCTGTGGGAGGATGTGATCTGGGAGCTCTGCTCAGCAGAGCCTGGTACAGAGGAGTGCCACCCCCAAAAACAAACAAGATTGGGCAGAAAAAAAGAAAAATTTCAATGGAAAAAGCAGGATTTGGCAAAAATGCAGAGATTTTTCTCTCTGGGATCCTCCCCTGGATTTGTTGGGGATGTTCGTGGTGGTGAATTATGGTCACTGGATGTGTTCTCCTGTGGGGCAAAGCCAGCCCAGGGGGTACAACCTGCACCAGGCTCGGGGTGGGTTTGGACTGCAATCACCATGGAATGAGAGCACCGAGTAATCCTGTAGGACAACTAAACCCTCATCCCTGCTACTCCCACTGAGTAACTCCTCACTGGGGCACCCCTCCCAGAACCTGCATGTATCCTGAGAGTGTTGTGACCTGGAATGAGCCCAGCCTCCTTTTGAACAGGGCTGGAGCACCCTGTGTCCCTCTGATGTCCCCACTGCCCCTGCCCAGATAAAAAAAAAGCTTCTTTTTCATATGCAGTGATGGTTCCCACCCAAAAAGATGCCCCAAAAGATGCCCAGAATGAAACAAACTTGGATGTTGGAAGTGGATGACTCCTGAGAGCTCTGGCTTTCATTTAGGCAGTGATTATAGAAATGTCTTCAACAAAAACTGAAAAACAATGAGAATTGATTTGTCCCTGGGCAAATCAATTGAAGGGCACCTCCTGGGGAGCCTGGAGAGAGGGAAAAAGTTTCCCTGCTCCCTTTCCTGCCTGTGAGCACAGTGGCAGCTCTTTAACTGAGACAAGGACAGCTTGGTAGGACCCTCGAGCAGGGAGATCCACCAATGGTCCAGGTCCCGTATCCCCGTGGGTCAGAGATGTCACCTCCTGCCCTGACCCATCCCAGACACTTTGCATTCTCTGTTTTCATTGAATCTCTAATTTTGCGTCTCCACCCACAGAAAATGTTCCTGCTTGGGATTTTTTTTTCCCCCTTTTTTTAATCATTCTGGAGAGGGTCTTGCCTCCAAAACCTGGTTCTCCTGTCTTCTCATCCCAGCAGGTGCTCTGCACACCTGGATGCAGAGCTGCCACATCCAAGCCAGGCTCTCCATGTCCCTCCCAGGTCTGGCAGACACCCAGGAGCCTGGGCTTGGGTGTCCAGGAGATTTAGGGGAGCTTTATAAACACATGCTGTTGATCTGGGGTGCACTTTTTTTGATATCACAGGCATTTCAAACCACTAATGAACATCGCAATCACTAATCAGCATTGCTGGGGACTCCTGCCTGGATTCCCATCACTCTGCACTCATCCAAACATCCTCACTGGGCCATTGCTGCAGCAGGGGCTTTGTGGCTGGTGGGGTCAAGTCTGAGGCTCAGGGGAGTCCCTGGATTTCAGACTTGGTTGGTGGTGATCAGAGGTGTCTGGCTCGGCTTGTCCTGCTGAATCAGCCGGCTCCTTCCCACGTGGGCTGCACCAGGAGGGTCAGGGCATTGCCAGCCTCTAGTTCCTTCACAAAAAAAAAAAATACAAAGAGGAAAAAAAACTAGAATTCTGGTTGAGAAAACCCATCCAACTCCAAATTCTAAAATCTCCTTTAATAGCTTTAAAATTAAAGCATTTGGGTTGGTTGCATCATCTTCAAACCAAGCAGGAAAACTCCTCATCAGCTGGGGATTTACCTCTCACTTATTCCAGAAGAACCTGTCTGGAGAAGCCTTTAAACTGAGGAATAGGTGGCTGAAAGCCTTTGGTGCAGCCTGGGGAGGGAAGGAGCCGTGTGGCCCTGGCTGTTCCCCTTTCCCTGACCCTTTCCTTGCCCCACAGTTCGGCGATTCCCAGCAGCTGCGGCTGGTCCGGATCCTGAGGAGCACGGTCATGGTCCGTGTGGGAGGAGGATGGATGGCCCTGGATGAGTTTCTAGTGAAGAATGACCCGTGCAGAGGTAAGGCTTGATGCAATCTGAGTCCTCCCACCCACGGAGGGGAGTTTGGATGCTGTGGCTGGGTCACCAGCGTGGGTCATTGTCCAGATGGGCAGGAGCTGGAGAAAACAGATCCAAAGCAAACCAAGAATTTGGAATCACCAGATTTGGTGATGCTGCAGCTAACCTGGCAGTGTTTATCCAGGCAAAGAGGGAAGGGCTGTGTTTTCCTTGGTTTTAAGACCTCAGCAAGTGGAGCTGGGGTCACCTCCTCCCTAAAACCTGGAGGTTTGACGGTGATCAGAGCCACTGGGCTGGACCAGAGCCATGCCCAGGGGGCAGAGCAGGATTAGCCAGGGGCTGGCCAGGACTGGAGCGTGTTTTGGAGAGTGCTCCGTGTTTCCCTGGGGTCTCTGGGGTGTTAATTGCTTCGGCTGTGTCTTGTTCAAGCTGCTGCATTCCGTGCTCCGGCTGCCCGACGGCTGTTGCTGAAAGCAGCATGATTTACAGCGAGCTGAGCTCCGGGGAGAGCCCTCAGGCTTTTCCTGCTCCTCCTCCGCCCTTCACGCTTTGCAGCAGATGTTCTGCAGCGCTGAGGTTGTTTCTGTCCCTTGCTTATCTCAGCGTGGTGCTTCCCTCCTGCCATTGCTTTCTCTGGCTCCGGAATTCCTCCGGTGTCCCGTAAGGCTCAGTGCATGCCCTCGCCCTCTGTTTGAACACCCCTGAGCATGGAGCACTCTGGCACACGTCAGCTGAAGCCCACAGACCTTCTCCCTGCTTGGTTGCCCCTTTGCTTGTCAAAAGGAGACCCTCCAGCTCTTTGAGGCGTTTGGATGAAAGTTTTTTGAGAAGTCGGTTTTCAGTGGCTGGTTGGAAAAGTTGGGAAGGTGGTTTTCTCTCCTCTCTCCCCAAAAAATGAGTGGAAGGCTGTGAGAGAGCAGAGTCTCTCTCAGATCCTCAAGAATCCCAAGTCTTCAAAGCTGCTTTTGCTATTTTTAAGCCATGTTAAAGATCACACCGGCCGCTGTTGTGACATGGTGAGTTTAAAAGCCATCAGGATGCTTTTCCACAAGAGAGGAGCTGAGCATCCTGTGTGAATTCCTGGCCCTGGGGCAGCTTTTCATCAGCCAGTTTCTCAAAGAGCTGATCCATGGTTTTAAGGCAGAGCAGGAGAACCTTGCTGCTCTCAGAGATGGGCTTGGGGAAATGCCCAAAGAAGCTGCTCCCAGCCCTGGAGCCTCCTGAGCCCTGATGAGGATGTTGCATCCCTCCAAAGCTGAGTTCTCCTTCCTCTCTCCCTTGCAGCACGGGGAAGGACCAACCTGGAGCTGCGGGAGAAGTTCATCCTGCCCGAGGGAGCCTCGCAGGGGATGACCCCGTTCCGCTCGCGGGGCCGCAGGTCCAAACCCTCCTCCAGAGCAGCCTCCCCAACCAGATCCAGCTCCAGTGCCAGCCAGAGCAACCACAGCTGCGCCTCCATGCCCTCCTCTCCAGCCACCCCAGCCAGTGGAGCCAAGGTGGGAGCAGGGGGGACGTTTTCCCTTCCCTTTAGGGACTGGAAGTCTCCAAAACCCAGATGAGGAGCTGCAGGTGTAGGGAGGAGGAAGGCTGGGGGCTTGAGGAGGGCTCTGGAAGGTGCTCCTTGGTGTCCAGGTGGGATGGGGGTGGGATGCTGCAGGACAGATTTCCAGGTTTCCAGCCCTGCTGTGGCTCCACAGGAGGGTCCCCAGCGCTCGCCATGCAGCTGAAGGCTCCTGGTGCCCGAGGCAGGGCTGTGGTGTCAGAAGGAAACCATCACCCCTCATCTCTCCTTCCCCACCATGTCATTATTTCATCGCCTTTTGGGTTTTTTCCCTTTATTTTAATTTATGTAATTCCTGTTTGGTTCTCGCTCCATTTTAGTGCCGTTTCCCCCCCTCATTTTCCAGATACTCTCCCATTTCTCTTTTTTTTTTTTAATTTCATTTTTTTACCACTCATCCCACCTCTCCCCCCCCCCTTTCCTTGGCTTTTCCATTTCACAGACTCCACACCACTTCTCCCGATGTTATGACAAACCCTGGTTGATAAACAGTAAAGCGAGCACCCCCCTGAGGGGAATCGATTATTCCGACTTCCAGCTCCCCAGCACTGAGGTAGAGTATGGTCTGCCAGCCCCCAGGAGCTGCTGGCAGGCTGGAGTGCCCCTGGCACGGAGCCATCCCACTGCCCTGCCTGCTCCTAACGCTTTCCTCCTGGTAGAGCAGCGCTTGTAGCACCGCTAACGCTCCGACTGTTGGTTTTTCATGAGTCTCCAACTCGGATTAAAATTTAAATATCAGCTTCAAAGTGAAGCACGACGCTTTCAATTCACCCTCACCTGCTTCCAAACAGTGCTAATCCTCTGGTGCTTTGAAAAATGTATTAATTTTCCGAGCTTTATTGGAAAGGGGCCGTGTTTGGCTTCCCAAAAATTGAAATCCAGCGGCCGAGTTGAGACTTGAAAATCAGCTACAGCGCATGCACCGTAAGCACACCGCCTCAGTTTTATGGAGAGCTTGTGTTTATCACCGTGTTCAAGCACGTCTGGTGTGTCCAGCCACCGCCTTGATGCTCCCAGGAGGATGAATTTGGGCTGAGGCTTTGGTTTCCCTAAAGTTTTCGGCCTCCTCGTGGACTTTTCCTGCCCTTGCGAGTGGGTGATGAGAAGCACCGGGTAGGTCCCGGTGGTTCCCTGTGTCTTGCTCAGCGGTGCTTCCATGTGGAAAATGGATTCATTTGCTTCACCAGGAGGTCAGGAGCACTTCCCCAATTGCCCCAAATTGATGCTTGCTGCCTATTTTAAAATAGGATCAAGGATGAGAATCGAAATCTCTGATGATGACAGTGGCGCCTCGAAAATCGCGTCTTAATGGATTTTGATTCCCTCAGCTGCCCCTCTCTCCCTGCAGCTCCAGTTTCATCACATTCCAACATTTCTGAGGTTCCCAAAAATCACAAAATTGCAGGGGATGGAGGAAAACCCCTCCAGCTGTGAGAAATGCCCTGTGGGATCTGTGTATCTCTCCAGGGATGCAGCACCCCTAAAACCCCAGGGCTGGGGACACCATAGGCAGGCACTTTCCTGCAGCTCTGCCCCAAACCCAGAGCTTTGGATGGTGAACTGGAACTGGAGCTGCCTTTTCCAGCTGGATCCAGGTGCCCTCGCCCTGCTGGCACCTTCCCCTTGGCTTCCTGCAGCAGCAGTGGGAGCAGAGTTGCCTGTTGTGCTGCTTCACCCCACACCAGCTGCACTTCCAACATCTTAAAGGTCGGGAAAGGCACCTTGAAAAGAGCTGAGCTGCTGTGGTTTGTGTCCCTGTCCATCACTTTTCCAATTTGGCTGCCTCTGGGCACTGGGAGCGGTGTGGACATCAGCACCAGGGTGTCCCTGCACCTCTGCCCACAATGGGTTGTGCTACTCAAGATCCCGAGTTGTACCTGACCTTCCAAAATGCTCCTGAGCTGCTTGGATGCTAAAATCCCTATTTTTCCCATATTCCACATTCCCTTTGTGGAGGCTTCCAGCCCAGCTGATGCTGCCTCTTAACAGCTTTACTCAGAACTTTCTTTTTCAGCCTGCAGCTCACAAACTGCCATTCCCCTCCAAATTCTCAGCATTTGGGCTTTTCCCTTTTATAAACCACTGAAACAGCAGCTTGTGCCTTCCCTGACCATTGAGATGGGGGTTCCTTAAATGCCCGGATTTTTGCTGAGGACCTGATCTGGGCTGTGACCTGGGCCTGCCAGGGTGCAGGTGACAGCTGAAGGATGTCCTGTGTGTGCTTCCTCCCAAGGTGACCCCCTCGGCTGGCAGCAAGCTGAAGCGCCCCACCTTCCACTCCAGCCGGACCTCCCTGGCTGGGGACACCAGTAACAGCTCCTCCCCAGTCTCAACAGGTGCCAAAACCACTCGGGCAGGTGAGTGAGGGGAAAAGATGGAAAAACTCCCCACCGGTGCACTGGAGGAAATACAGAATATTTGAGGGATGGGTGGTGGGGGAGGAGAGGCTGGGACAGCTCTGCAGCTTAGGGCATCAGGAGGAGCAAAACTTGGGGCATTGGGATGAACAGAACTTCAGGCATCAGGAGGAGCAAAACTTAGGGAGGCATTAGGAGGAACAAATGGCATCAGGAGGAGGAGGAGCAAGGGGCATCAGGGGGAACAAATCTTAGGGCATCAAGAGGGACAAAACTTAAGGCATCAGAAGGAACAAAGGGCATTGGGAGGAGCAAAACTTAAGGCATTAGGAGGAACAAACCTTAGGGCATCAAGAGGAAAAAAGGGCATCAGGAGGAACAAAAGGCATCAGGAAGAACAAAACTTAAAGCATCAGGAGGAACAAATGGCAACGGGAGAAATAAAATTTAGGGCATCAGGAGAAACAAAACTAAGGGCATCAGGGGGAACAAAACTTAAGGCATTGGGAGGATCAAAACTTAAGGCATCAGGAGGAACAAAGGGCATTGGGAAGAGCAAAACTTAGGGCATCATTAGGAACAAAGGGCATCATTAGGAGCAAAAGGCATGGGGGGAACAAAACTTAAGGCATTGGGAGGATCAAAACTTAGGGCATCAGGACGATGGGCATCAGGGGGAACAAACCTTAGGGCATCAGTAGAAACTAAGAGCATCAGGAAGAGCAAAATTAGGGCATCAGGAGGAACAAAGGGCATCGGGAGGAGCAAAACTTAAGGCATCAGGGGGAAGAAAACTTAGGGCATGGGGGACAAAAGGCATGGAGAGGAGCAAAACTTAAGGCATCATAGGGAACAAAGGGCATCAGTAGGAACAAGAGGCATCGGGAGGAACAAACCTTAGGGCATCAGGAGGAACAAACCTTAGGGCATCAGGGGGAACAAAGGGCACGAGGGGGAACAAACCTTAGGACATCGGGAGGAACAAAGGGCAGCGGGAGGAACAAACCTTAGGGCGTCAGAGGGAACAAAGGGCACGAGGGGGAGCAAACCTTAGGGCATTGGGAGGAACAAAGGGCATCAGGGGGAGCAAACCTTAGGGCATCAGGAGGAACAAACCTTAGGGCATCGGGAGGAACAAACCTTAGGGCATCAGGGGGAACAAACCTTAGGGCGTCAGAGGGAACAAACCTTAGGGCATCGGGAGGAACAAACCTTAGGGCATCGGGAGGAGCAAACCTTAGGGCGTCAGAGGGAACAAAGGGCACGAGGGGGAACAAACCTTAGGGCATCAGGAGGAACAAACCTTAGGGCGTCAGAGGGAACAAGCCCTTCCTTGGCACAGCTCTGGGGGCTCTCCCTGCAGACCCCAAGAAGGCCGCCAGCCGTCCCACGAGCCGCGCCGGGAGCCGCACGGGGAGCAGGGCCAGCAGCCGGCGGGGCAGCGACGCCTCCGACTTCGACCTGCTGGAGACGCAGTCGGCCTGCTCGGACACCTCGGAGAGCAGCGCGGCCGGCGGGCAGGGCTCCCGCCGCGGCGCCGCCGCCAAGCCCTCCAAAATCCCCACCATGTCCAAGAAAACGCCCGCTGCCACCCCAAAAACTCCCGGCCCTAAGAGATAATACTGTACCCGCCACCCTCCCGAGGGAGAGGAAGGAGAAGCAAACAAACAAACAAACAAACAAAAAAAAAAAACCAAACGGGGAAAAAAAAAAAAAAAAGCACCCAACCTGTGTCCAGTTTTTAACCCTACATTGGATGTATATTTATTCTAAATGGGAGAAACTATATTGTTAAAAGTGTAAAAGAAAAGTTGTGTTATGAAGCTGCCTTATTTGGTTTATTTCTTTTTGGGTTTTTTTTTTTGTTTTGTTTTTAGTTTTGTTTTTTGTTTTTTTTTTCTTTTTTGTAAGTTACTATTTTCATGTGAATATTTATGTAGATAAAAAAAAAAAATTGCCTCTCGGTGACCCCTGTTTAGAGAGGGGCCTGGAAAACTGAAATGTGGGAGAGAAAGAAAAAAAAAATCAAGAAAAAGATTTAAAAAAAAAAAGGAAGCAAAAAAAAAAAAAGGTCAAGATGTGAAAGTGTAAAGAAAAACTAAAATATAAATAGGATTTCTGCGCGGTGCAGGGTGTGAACCTGCTTTATCTTTTAGGATTGTTTCCTAAATGCATCTTTATAAACTTAACTTGCTGTCTCAGCAAGGTAAATTATATTTAAAAGCAAAGACCTGAATCCTGCAGTGTTCAAGGAACTCTCTTTTTGTAAATCACAGATACCTCAACCAGAGAAACATGAGGTGAGGGGACTTGGGGCTTATGTTTCCATTTTTTTTAAAGCTATGTGGTTTTATCTGAAGAAAGCGGAGTTTGACTTTAATAAAATTTGCACACACTACAGCAAAGGCCGTGACAATTTTGCTGTCTTGAAAATACTGTCCTGACAACTTTGTTTTTAGAGAACAAACCGAGGGTGAAGGGTTTGGGGAGGGGTTTGAGGAGGGGCTTCACACCGGAGGATGCGGGGTAGGATTGCAGGTCTGGATCACTTGGATGCATCCCTTAGAGGTGGTGGGCCCTCCAAAATCAAGGAATCTTCTGGATTGATGGCTTAACCAGCCCGCCCCGAGGCGTTCCTTACACAATCACTGTTTTATCTGCATCTCTTTGTTTTCCTATTTATTATTTAACTGGTCATTCCACTTCCAGCCAGGCTGAGATTGATGTGAACTCTGCTCCTAGGAGAAATCTGGACTTACACGCACAGTTGCTTGTCCTTGAAATGAGTCTCACCAGCACACTCGCTGCAAGTCCTGTCTCGCTTTTGTACGCTCCTTTTTCTTTGTAATAAAATCCAACTTGACCAAGTGACCAGGAGACGAGGGCTCTGCACAGCTCCTGTATTTATTAAATATTGTTCCTCTCCGGCTCCGACCGTGTTGCTGTGTGATTCTCTCAATTGGTTTCAAATTGAGGCAAAACCGAAGCTCTACCAATGAATTGTTTAAAAGAACCAGACACATTTTTGTATTAAAATTGCTTGCGGTAATAAACAATCTTGCCTCCTGCTTTATTCCCCAGTGTTAGCTTTGTCAGGATGAGCTGGAGCTGCTTATCCCGTGTGGGAAGGCAGTGGCTGTGAAAGGCAGGGGGTGACTGCACCCAGGTTTTCTTGTGGGATGGAGCAGGGAACCCCCCAGCCCCAAAATTAAAGTGGTCCAGGTGGGTGGGTGGGGCTGGTGAGGTGCTCAGTGGGGTGGGGAAGTGGTTACCTGTGAGGGGAAGGGATGCAAGGGGGTGTCCAAGAGTTTGGGTGGCCTTGGGAGTGGATTCCCAGGTGGGTGAGTGTCCCCAGGTGTGAGTATTTATGGATTTGGGTGCCAGTGAGAGTGGGTACCCCTGGGTTTGGGTTCCCACAAGGGTCAGTGTCCCCAGGTGTGTTTATTCATGGATTTGGGTGCCAGTGAAGGTGGGTGCCCCTGGGTTTGGTTGCCTACAAGGGGGAGCCTCCTTAGAGGTGGGTGCCCATGGGGTGAGCATCCCTAGGAATGGATCTCCATGCATTTGTGCACCCATTGAGCAGGAGCATCCCTAGGGATGGTTTTGGGTGTGAGTGGGGGTGGGAACCCAGGGCTTTGGGTATCCCTGAGGATAACCATCCCCAGGGATGGATTCCCATGAATTTGGATCTCCACAGCTTTGGGTGCCCACCAGGATAACCATCCCCAGGGATGGATTCCCATGAATTTGGGTCTCCACACCTTTGAGTTCCTGCCGCTTCTCATGCCCAGCGATGCTCCCCGTGCCCCGCAGCCACCGGGCGGGGAGGGCCGGGGCGGTGCCGCTGCAGGGACCGTCCCTTTCCCTCTCCCCGCCGGGGCGGGCCGGGGCCGGAGCCGGGGCCGTGCCGGTGCCCGGGGCCGCTCCGCACCGGGCGGGCGGGGGGTCCCGGCGGTGCCATGGGGCGCGGGGGGCGGCGTGGGGCCGTGGCGCTGCTCTGGGTGGCGGCCGTGCTGTGCCAGCTGGGCAGCGGCAGCGTCCTCCGCCGCCGGCTCCACGCCGCCGGGGTCCCGCAGCGGCGGCTGAGCGGCGGCGAGCGGAGGGACGTGCAGCGGGAGATCCTGGCCGTGCTGGGGCTGCCCGGCCGGCCCCGGCCCCGCGCCCCCGCCCGCGCCCCCGCCGCCGCCGCGCCGCTCTTCATGCTCGATCTGTACCACGCCGTGGCCGGCGAGGAGGAGGAGGAGGAGGGTGAGGAAGCGGCGGTGTCGCGCCCGGTGCTCACCGGGCTCAGCACGCAGAGCCCCCCGCCCGGCAGCGTCGTGAGCCGGGCAGACACCGTGGTCAGCCTCGTTAATATGGGTGAGAACCGGCACGGGGCACCGGGGGTACCGGGGGGTACCGGGATGTGCGGGGCACCGGGAGGACCGGAGCGCACCGAGGGGCACCGGCGCTACCGGGTGTGCGGGCGGGATCCCGGCGGGTTTGGCTGGACCGGGGGCACCGGGACGATCGGAGCGTACCGGGATGATCCGGGTGGTTTAAGCTGGACCAGGGCACACGGAGGGACTGGGGCGATCGAAGCAGACAGGAGGGGACGGGCAGGACCGGCGAGGAGGCGGCGGCAAAGCCGGGAAGGCACCGGGGGACACCGGGGGACAGCCCCGGCGGGACGGGCACGGGGCTAAGCTGACCCAACCCCGACTCCTGGTCCGTGACCGTGGCACCGGCAGCTCCGAGCATCCCTCGGGGTGGATTTTCAGCCCTTGCTCAAATAAGGAACTTTTTTGCCCAAAGTTGAGCTCAGTAACGGGGGAGCGGCGGTAAGGGACACGGTGGCCGTGAGGGACACGAGTGTTGGCTGAAAGTGGCCGGGATGGATCCCAACTCCCCTTAAAAAGGGGAAATGGAGAAGGGGAACGTCCTGCAGCAAGAAGGAGCCGAGGGAGGCTCCTCCACGCCGCTGTCCCCGTTTCAGCGGGCACAAGGCGGGCAGCGAACGGGGCTCGGGGCAGGCGGGACAGCGGCTCTGGTGCCAGCAGCAGGGCGACCCTCGGTGGGACACCGAATCACGGCTCCAAATAAAATCCTCCAGGCTGCCAATTATTGCTGGAATCCCGTCCAGCTGGTTACCACGCTCCAGCATCCCTCGTATTTCCAGGCAACAGAGCTGATCCCAGCATCAGCGGGGCCACAAAAACTCGGGGTGGGATAAATCCTCTCCCAGGGCTGAACCCGGTGGGATTTGCAGACCAGGAGTTCGGATAAGGAGCTTTTCCCTGTCCCTGCTCGTTGCTTTAAGGGATGTTCGGGTGCCCCAAGCAGAAAATCCCCCACAACCTTTGAGGACGGGGAGAATCCCTCCTTGGAGATGGGAGGCAGGGAGGGGGATCTGCAGCCTTGGCAGGAGGTTTAGGCGATGGAGGAGCTGTGGAGGTGTCTTCTACTCATTCCTACACCCCCTGGACCACGAGTGGGTGTGAGGAATCTCCCTGGGACAGAGCCACAGGTGCAGGCACCCAGAGCCCTGAGGGAACTGGTGGAGTTCAGCATCCTGGGAAAGCTGAGAGCGATGGAGACAAAAACTGAAGCGCCAAGTCCCCTCGGCACTTGGGACAACACCCAGGCACCAAAAAGGGCTTTAAAATGGTCAGGTTTGGTGGTAACCAGGGTGGGATGCTCAGGGGAGCCTTTGGGAGGGATCACTGCAGGTACAGGGGCACTGCTGCCCTTCCCAGTGCTCCTGGAGTAGCCAGGAGAGTTGTGGAGCACAGCTCCAGCCTTCCATTTGAATGGCTTTGATTTCTGCGGCTTCCTCAGCCCCTTCATGTTAATTAAATAAGGGTTTTTTTGTGGGAGAAGGCCAGCTCTCATTTACATGCATAATTAGCTGCACAATTATCCCGATGGGGACATGCAAATGGGGTAAAGTCTGTGCCCCATTGGGCACTTGGACCTCTTTGGACCTGTGTGAGCCGGTCCCGAGGCACTCCTTGTTCCTGGGAAGGGGGAGTGACAAAAATCCCACAACGCGGCCCGGTTTGGGGACAGGGGCAGCCCCAGCTGCGTCCGGGGACGGTGGATCCGCCCGTGCCACCCTTTCCCGGTCTGTGCTGTTTCTGCGCCCTCCCTGCAGCAGCCCGGCGGGGTTTGGGGTTTTTAAGCCCGGGGTGAGGATGGGCTTTGGGATTTCTCCTCAGCTGTGAGCCGTGGATACGGGCAGGGTGTGATTGTGGAGCGGGGAGATGTGGGGCGGGAAGGGGGTGAGGGCTCACAGCGTTCCTGAGCCCCCCAGGGCACCACAGCGCACACATCCCCCTTTCCCTGCTGGCTCCCGATTTATTGGGAGGTGTCCCATGGCAAGGGGGTGGAATTAGATGATTTTAAGGTTCCTTCCAACCCAAAGGAGTCTGTGATTCCCCCGTGGATGTTTCAGATGCGCCCACAGCCAAACATTATCCTGGAAAATCCAGGGAACACTGGAGAGGAACCCAAAAACAGCCACAGCACCCCAGGGCACCCCAAGTGTGGGGTGGGAGCTCAGGGCAGCCTCTTTAATGGAATTTTAGGAGTTGGGAAGTGCTGCTCCACTCCAGTTTGGAATTCACCCCTCACTGCCATCACCCCACACAATTACCACTGCAACCCAGCTGCTGTCGGGATTTTCCCAGCCCTGGCTCCATTTTGCAGCCGTTGGAGCCTCCTCTCCTGGGGGCATCCTGCGCCAAGGTGTCGGTGCTCTCTATGGACCCTCTGTGTGCATTTTAATGGGAAAAACTTCCCAGATAAATCCTGGGATCCACCTGGGGCAGGGCGCTCCTGGCTGAGCTCTGTGTCCTGCAGCTCCCACTGCTCATCCCAGGAGGATGGAGGAAGCAAAGTGGGAGTCTGGGTGTGTTGGGAGAGCTCCTAAATCCCTCTCCACTTCAGAAAGCCTCCAGAGCTTATTTTATTCCCCTGCTTGCTAGGAAAGGACAGCATCTTCCCTGCATCTCCTTTAAGCCTATTTTAGGATGCAGGGCACTTGATGTGGTTGAATATCCTGGCATTTCCTTTTAATTTGGTGTCTGAAATGATCGTGGGGACCCATGGGGAGAAGCCAGGCCTGGTAATTACGACTGAAGCACGGTTTGTGGAAGTTTATAGAAGCAAAAACGTGCAGCTAAGAATAACCTGGGGAGCAGGAGGAAGGGCTGGGACCTGGGAAGAGATCTGGGAATGCTCAGGGACTGGGAGACACCAGGAGGCTCAGCTGAGATGGAGCTGGGCATCCCCTGCCAGGGAGCAGCCCAAATGCTGTTTATATTCGTTTATAATAATTTTAATATTATTTTTGGGGGTGATAGGAGCACAGGGGGGCACTCAGCTTTGGGGGGAAGGTGCAGCAGCTCCTGGGGATGATGCCAAAGGAAGGGGAAAGGAGAGCAAAGCTCCTGGGTTGGGCTTTTTTTGTGCCTCTCCTCTGCAATCCAGATCATCCACCCACAGATAATTGAGGGTTGGTGGTGTGGCTGAGTCAAGCCGGAGCAGGGGCAGGTTCCCAGGCACCCTGGGCTCCCCAAACCACCCGGGGGGGCACCTCCAGCGCACCCCCAGCAGCATCTGAGCACCCCCAGCTCTGCTGGGTGCTCAGGGGGGACTGCAGGGCTCTCATTTCACAGCAATTTTGATTTTAGGAGCGAGCACGGGGACGTTGAGGCTGCTCCGAAAACTCCAAACTGCTCCAAACTCCTGTTTGGGGTGCTCCAAGCTGCTGCTTGTGCACCAGTGGTGGCACAGAAGGGGAAGATTCTTTCTCAGGCCTCCCCCTCCAAAGGGGTTCTCTTCTTTCCTCTCTGAAGCAGCAGAGAATTCAGGGATTCCTCCCAGGATTCCATCCCAGACAGATCCAGCTTATTGGTTCCTCAAAGGGCTCAGCTAATTGCAGCTCAGCTGATTTTTGCATTTCTCCTGCTGTCAAGGTGTCCCTGGGCTCCCCTCCCACCAAATCCCCTCCTCTGCCTTCACCCCTGGACCCCTCCCTCCATCACCTCCACAGCAACAGGAAATTTTCATTTGAAAAAAAACTTAG